TAAGCCAGAGCTTAACTTATCTACATCTTCTATGCTTCCAAATCAACAATATGTGTCACTGCTTATATCATGCTCGTTTCTTATCATAAATTGGTTGGTCATCAAACTACTATGTGAGCAGAACATGCCCCGGGAGTTCATAAAGACATACATTCGAGAAGACCAGCGAATGGTCACTCTTATTTAGTCAGGCCGATCGTGGGAGGTGAAGCTCCGGGCTACCAGCGATTCCCCATTGCATCCTTAGCAGTCAGTTGGTCCGCGTTTGCAAGATAAGCTTGCTTGCCTGAAGGAGATGTTCAAGGTCGTTAATAGGGATGCTACTGAATTCAGATTCTCATTTTTTGGTAGCGCCGATAACAAAGTGATTTGCATCAATTGAGATTAACCGCGGATGTGTTACACTTCAGGCCGTTTTCCATGCCAAGAGGAACTGGAGAAACTAATTAGCTAACACTAGTTGATGCCTCCTTTATCTATACTGTGAATGATCATTGAAGCGCTCACTTCTGCTTGCTCGAATAAATCTTCTTGTTTTCGGCTAATTGCAATCAGAAAGGGCAAATCTACTTGAATCAGAACATTCCTGAACATATTTATTGATGGGTTAGAAGAAAAACAGGGGAAGAAGAAAGAAAAGAAGAAAAGGCAGCTTTGTTTGAGTGGTTGCTCTTTGAAGCTCGTTGATGGTGAGTGAGTTTGTTCTTATATTTGTATATTAGTCTTGTTAGTGCTGGTGAAGTTTCTGGTAGAAATGGAATTTGAGGTTTGAGGTGACCACCAAACTTCTCGTTGGGTGATGATGTGTGATGGTATTGTGAGATTATTCATGCTCAACTTGATATACAATAGTCTACTCTTTGAATTATTTCATAAGTATACATATTGGATGGATGCAGGGAAGAGATGCGTCTATGCAATAAAAAGAATATCACTTAAACTTGAGTAAAAAATTCTAGGGTTAATACCACGAAAAACTCCAAACTGGTACACCTATGATAAATTTATCCAAAACTAATTTTTTGACTACCGAAAAGTCCAAACTAGTACACTTGTGACAAATTTACCCTCCGTTTGTTTTCATTAAATCGGATTAATACAAAAAAAAAATTCACAAACTAGTGTGACAAACGGAGAGTAAAACTCAAAACTGTCGCGTGTCATTTAAAAAAGTAATTTAACTCCGTTTTGAGTTTTACCCTCCGTCTGTCACACCAGTTTGCGATTTTTTTTTTTGTATTAATCCGATTTAATGAAAACAAACGAAGGATAAATTTGTCACAAATGTACCAGTTTGGGGTTTTTAGTGGTCAAAAAATTAGTTTAGGGTAAATTTATCACAAGTGTACCAGTTTAGAATTTTTCGTTATATTAACCCAAAATTCTATAAGATGATAATAAGGCCAACGATGCTTTATGACACAAAAGTTGTTGGGTTGTTTTTTTTTTTTTTGGTCAGAAAAAAACTTATTCATTTAATAGGATAGAGTTCGTGAATACATTCTATAAGCTTCGGAACAAAGAAAGTCCTAAAGGTCCGGGGGATAAAGGACCTAATTACTTGGTAAATACTTTTTTCTTTGAGCTTTCACAACCCAATCAGCCACTCTATTAGCCTCTCTACTTATATGGGCCACTTTCAGCTTTGAGAAGGGCGTCAATAGACTATGGGCTTCCACTAATAAGTAGATCGAATTCCCAAGTGATCTACCATGAGTTTGAAAGACAGCTTATCAAATCAATGTGATCTGTTTCTACTTCCATCTCCTCATCGGATCGGGACTTGAGGAACTTTGGGGCTTTGACCAGCGCTCGTGCCTTCTCCTATGCAGCCGATGCCAACTACAGGCGCCTGGTCGACTGTTTTGCTCGTTCAATTAAGTAGTTGGTCTGTTAAACAGCAGCATATGCATAAAATTAGTGCCAGAGATGTTAATGTCTCGTCAGATGAACGGGCATACAAGAAAAGATACGTGAGAAAAAGTAAGTTTTACTTCAATTGAGGATAAAATAAGAGAAGTCCATTTGAGATGGTTTAGTTATATGAAATAAGGGGAAAAAATACAAAAAAAGTCACAACCTTATTGTACTTGTGCCAATTCAATCTTAAACATTTCAATTGTACTCAGTGAATCCTAAACTTTTTGACGATTTGGAATATAGTCCATCTAGCCAATTTTCACCGGAAATTGTTGATAAGGACGCCGGTTGTCTTACGTGATACGACTGGCACTGACATAGACAAATTTTATAATTTTTTTAGAATTTTGAAATTCTTTTCTTTTCTTTTCTTTCTTTTTTTTTCTTTTTTTACAGCGCCGACCGACCATAGGTGAGAATCATTGACCCTCGCCTAGTTTGGGCTAGGGTGTCGTGACCACCCTTGTCAACCACGGGTGAAGGCCTTTGCGCCCTCGCTAGCCATAGGCAAAGACGTCGGGCCCTCGCCCAAATCCGGGTGAGGGCCTCCGTGCCTTCGCAGGTGAGGGCCTCGTGGCCCTTGCCCAGACTAGGCGCGAGCCTGGATCTTGGCGAAGGCATGGAGGCCCTTGCTAGCCAACAAGCGAGGGCATCCGGCCCTCACCCAGATCCTGGCTAGCGAGGACCGTAATGCCCTCTTCTAGTTTGGGTGAGGGTCCGACGCCCTTGCTTGGATCTTAGCGAGGCCAGCCCACAATTGCGAAAAAAGAAAGAAAGGAAAGGTAAGAAAGAAGAAAAAACAACAAAAGTAATAAAAAAAATTTGGAAAAATTATATGAAAATAGAAAAAATTGTCTACGTCAATGCCAGCTATGCCACGTAAGACGACCGGCGTCCATGTCAGCGATTCCCAATTAATATATTAGCAAATCATCAAAAGGTTTAGGATTCAATTGGCATAATTGAAAGGTTTTATGATCAAATGGCACACATGTAATAAGTTTTAAGACTACTTTTATTTTGTACTTTTCCCTGGAATAAAGACCTTTCAATTGCTCCAACGAGAGGAGAAGGAAATACCGGTTAGAAGGGACAGAGCAAGACGCTGAAGAATGTGGAAGAAGACGATAAGGAAATATATGAAGCATATACACATATATTGTAAATAGAATTGAACTGGAATTGAAGAGAATAAAATTGTAATATAAAATGGCATTTTCATTTCTTTATTTGGTCCGAACAATGGAATTGAACAAACATTTTCAGTTTGTTTTTTGTGTAAGTGGATGAAAAGAAATTCTAGTTTCAAAAAGCCTCATTTAATTCTCTTTATACAAAGAGTAGATATGCTTGAATAAAATCATCAATTAGAAATATAACAACATTTTATCATTCTCTTGGAGCAAAATTCTAAGTAATTCTTTTGGACATTAAAATTTTAATAAATTGCTGCGTTTATTTTGGATAAAATAATGAACGATCAAAAAAATAAGAGGTGACATTTAATGCCCATCAACAAGTGAGTTTTTTTTTTATACATTTAGAGAAGGATAATATAAGGAACTTTTTTTTAATCAATACTTGACTTTTAAGACAGTAGAATGGTGTTTCCTGGGAAAACAATCTAAAATCCTAATGCCGCCACTAAGCGTGAAATCTTCGTTTCTTTGAAATTTGGATTCCAACACCAAAGCCTTGGCCAAATACAAGAGTAAGTTTGCGCATGATAATTATTCTATTTCTTTATTTTTTTATTCCCCGAAACAGATTTGGAACAAAAATTTGTTTGGTAACGTAATTTCATTTTTTTATTTTTGGAACAAATTTTTAGTCCAGAAATAGATTTGGAATAAAAATGAGAAGTAATTTGTTTCTACTTTTCTATTTCTGGAGTAAAAAGATAAATAAAAACTCTTCTCATCACTTGCCCTCGCCTCCCACCGCCCGCTGCATGCGATTGCCACCTGCCGCCACCTGTTGCCTGTCGATGAATGGAAAATAGTGTAAGAGAGAGAAATTTTAAATCGTTATTAAACGGATATCTCTGTTCAGAAACTCGTCCAAAGTATAGAAATAGAAAATTTTATTTCTGGAATAAAATTGTTATCATTCGCACCCCAAGAATTAGAAGGAGAATCTCGATTTCATTACACAGTCAATATTAAATCTTCTAAACAATTAATAAAGGATCGAGAGCAATTAAACACGTTCGAATTAATATTGCCAATCCACTTCAGCGAAAAAAGAATCTATTTGTTATTGTTATTACTGTTATTGCCGATACGTAATCAATAGGACCATTAGGGATGAAAGTATTTGGCATAATTGCATAAATAATCTTTGATCTTTAATTTAATGTGCAATATGGTCCCTAACTTTTAATTTATTTATTGTAATCCCTCACTTTAACTCAATATAAAATATGGTCTCTGAACATTTAATTTATTTAATGTAGTCTCTAAACTTTTGGTACATGTTCAAGTTAATCTCTAGATTATATGAAAATGTTCAATGTCATCCTTCCATTAATTGAAGTTTAGGGACAACATTAAACATGTATCAAAAGTTTAGAGATAACATTGAACTTTAGCTCAATATGCAATGTGTTGAACATTTTCATATAGTTTAGGGATCAGATTGAACATGTATCAAAACTTCAGGAATCACATTGAACAAATTTAAAGGTCAGGAACGACATTACATATTGAACTAAAATTTATAAATCATACTGAATAAATTAAAATTTTAAGAACTGTATTATATATTGAATTAAAGTACGAAAATTATTTATGTCATCTTGTCAATCTACTTTGATTCCTGATATGTCGGACGACATATGAGAAAATGAGGCACCCGTTGCCGTAACTAAACAAGAACAGTGAATTGATCGATGACCAGCACCGTCACTTGATGCATGAGTACGAAGCGAAGCCACGTGCCTGCGCAGTCCTGTTTTCACCCTTCATGCCACTCAACTCGTGCCTTTTTTTTCAATCACTTCATACGTGACGTTTCCTTCCATTATTTACACAAACATTTTCATAAACAATCACATGCTCACAAACCCACCAAAAAAGATTTGCTTCAATCATGAACAGAGTCCCAGAAAGCCATTTGAACAAGCTCACATAGAAACCCAAAGCCGCCGCCACCCCTCATCATCGTCTTCTTCTTCTTTGAGCATTCAGTGTGGCTGGCTACTACATGGCTTGCTGCCGCCGCCGTCCCCGCCGCCGGACAGAAGACGAACGTGCCGAGTAGCAGGAGCCTTCAAGTCCAAGGGGTCCTCACTTCTTCAAGATCATACTCTCTGACACACTTGAATCTGGAAAGCTTGTAAGTGATAGATTCTTCATTGGATGCCCAAGTGATTTTTCAATGCCATCATGGTCATGCTGGCAGACCTCATTCGTTTTTAAATTTTTTTGTCGTTCATTTTAGTTTGGGACGAGAAATAGCTAGTTATCCTGCTCCGAGTGTGCTATAAGCATAAGCTGCCTTCTCACTGTATCATGGGTATGGTGGAAGCTTGTGGTCCGTGTGAACGGGACCCAATATGTCCCAAGATTCGACCCACATTATTTGAAAATCAGACGAGAGTGAGTACATACGTAACATGGAGTTACAAGGTGAGATTCTAGATTGATATAAACAAATGCGAAGTGTCCTTTGCAATTATGTCATGAATTGTTGCTGTCTATAATTTTGTATTTCCAGTTGCAGTCTGATGTAAACGATCAACCTCAATCAACAATGTCAATGGAAATCGACCTGTCATCCAATGCGTAAAACATGAAGTCTTCACCAGGTTTTTTTTGCATGATGTTCGAGAGCCTCGAGATGACTTACTTAAAGTTCTCTATATAACAGGGAATTCCAAGAAGGTTCTTAAGGAAATACGGAAATGGTCTCCCAGGTTTGGTGCTTCTCAAGGTCCCAGGTGGTTCGACCAGGCCTATAGAACTAAAGAAGTGCAACAATGGCATGGTTTGGCTGTGGAAGGGGTGGCAGGAATTTATGGAGCATTACTCAATTGGTCATGGTCACCTCATAGTTTCGAATATGAAGCGAACTCCATTTTTCACGTGATAATATTTGATAAAAGTGCTTCTGAGATAGATTACTCATCGAGCAGTGGCGGAATATCAAACTTCGAGGCTGAATTTCTCTCACGAAAAAGGGAAGATGTCGTAGAAGTCGAAGATGTGGAAAATTTCATGCCACATAAAAGATCGAGGGCCAAATCACATCCGACTATATCTCAGCTAAGTCGGAGCTGCTCCTCACGAGAACTTGGAGGTCCAGTTTTTGTTTTTATACGTCTTGATTTCTGCTTGCATCACTTTTTATACTTAGTTCATTTTAATTATTGTACTTTTTTTAATGTAAACTTTTTGTCTGATTATTTCGTAGTGGTGCAAGTTGTGTTAACTAGCTACCTCTAATATAGGCGAAGAAAATACGGAATTTAGTTCAGCAGATTACTTAGAATTTGGTTGCAATGGTATTATTTCCCAATCTATGCTAATGGCTAAATCTTTTCATTGATATGTCAATTCAGCGTCGATTAAAATCCTCACTTCTTAATGTACAGGCATGACTAAACAGTCAAGATGCGGAGAGAGCCATCTGGAGCTGGTTTTTCATGGCCTTACATGTCCGAGGCCTCTCACTAGGCTTGAATTAGCCAACAAATTTGAATTGGAGCATCCCTTTTTCAAAGTCGTGATGCGGCCATCTTATTTCAGGGGAAAATTGGTAAAATCCCATTGTGATGCTTCGTTGGCTTTGTCAAAGGCTAATTATAATTGTCATTTTATTAAATGGGAGATTCCCATTTTATTTTGTGACAACCATTCAGATTTTTCAAGAGAAGTTTTCGTACTTTACATAATTAGCTTCTGTTTAGGATGTTGGTATCAAAAGCCATTAAACCGACATTGAAGCAACAAGTTGTTGAAACCACTTTCAAGTCATCGACATTCTTTTCTTTCTTCTTCCATTCAACCTGTGGCTACTATTCTTGCATATCACGAGATTAATCACTTCAGATTATGTACCCTATCCTAGATTAGTCTAGGAACATGAATATCGATAATTTTGCCTTCACGTTACTGGTTAAGATTGATTGCTTTCATTAGATAGTGATGACTATTGATTCAAATTCCTGAAACTAGCAAATATTGCCTTTAAGTCTACATCTTGTGTGCTTCCCTTGTTACTGTATGCTTATATTCTGTTCTTTCTACAAGTTTGTCTTTCAAACTGTTCATGGATGGGCATGCAGAGCATTCCTTGTGAATTTGTCAAGAAACACATTCACGAAAACAAGGAAATTGCGACTCTTAGGTATTTAGACAGATCGTGGCCGGTGAAGATAATTAGGAGCTATCGGCACAACCATGCGGCGTCCTTCTGTGCTGGTTGGTCTGCATTTGCGAGAGAACCAACTCTGTGTGTAGGAGATGTCTGTGTGTTTGAGCTCATTGATGAAAATGATACCATGTTCAATATTTCCATCTTCAGTAGTGCTGGTAAGTACCTGATATTCATGTTGATTGAGATGAACACTAGAAGTGTCGCTTTAGGCCGCTTATAAGGCCGATGTGAAATTTATTTCGTCAAATTATCTAGATTTTTTAATTTCCCGCCTACTTTAAATGGTAAGTCAATCAATTAAACATTCATGCTGGTGTCTATTAAAGCTTTCATTTTTATTTTTTTGAGTATATAGGCGAGCTCAAACAGTCTAGATGCCGACCTACGTGTCCAAGCCCTCCCACTAGCCTTGAATTAGCCAGCAAATTTGAATCAGAGAACCCCTTTTTCAAGGCGGTAATGCAGCCGACTCATATTACGAAAAACATGGTAAGATCCTGGCTGTTAAATCACCACTAGACTTTCCAACTTTAATTATGAATGCTAACTATATATCTTGCCTCACATGACATTGGTCTAATGATGAAAATAGTTTCTTCATCAGATTGTATTTTGGTCACTTTAGTTTGTTAAAACGAGATCAGATGCATGTAAAGAAGATTACTTTGTGTGCATGTATATAGGTATTGACCCCTCTCATAAGAAAAAAGGAAGAGATATTGGCCCTGTTTAATTATATGGTCGATTTGAAAAATCGAAAATCGAAATAGGACTGAAAGAAAGTCTACACACTATATTTTGTTAAGTTTTAAGTTTTGATGCAGTACATATTCGAGTTGACTATTATTTTTTTTCATTTCCCATCGATCAATTGACATTTTGCCTTTTGAATTTAGATTGCAATTAAGATTTTGATGGCTTTCATTGCATTGGTTAAGATTTTCTGTTACCAATCACTTTGTCATAAACCTCTGGTGTGATTCTTTCATAAGCACATGCAAGTATCAGATGATTACAGTCTTCCTTTATCGTACATGGGCAGACTGTTCCTCATAATTTCATCAAGCAACACAGTATGAAAGACAAGCGAACTGTGACTCTCAGGTATTCAGACAGATTGTGGCCCGTGGAATTCAGGTTCTATCGAAGTGTGCCGGTGGGGTTCTTCGCTGCTAGCTGGTCTGTGTTTTCAAGAGAAACACGCCTGCAAGTAAGAGACATCTGCATGTTTGAGCTCATTGGTCGTTGTTTTTCCGTGTTCAGAGTCTCCATTTTCAGGAACTTGGGTCCGGAGCTGATCTATGAAGACTGAGATGTACACTAGAAGTATTTCCATGAATTCAAGATTTCCCAATTGTGCCTCCTTTTGCCTTTTGATGTGTCAATGAGAAGTATGTATGACACCTTTTTTCTTGGTTTGGTTCCTGTTTGATCTGGTTACAATCTTATGATATTCCTTCTCTGGGGATGATCTCTCTAGTTCGGTGCTTCTCAATGTTCCACATGCATGGGTTCAACCTGGCCTTTTGTACTAGAGGAAATGTAAATTTGATATGTTTAGTTGCGGAAGAGTGCTATAAGTTAAGTCGGATCGCAACCGATCGCAGTGTAATTCTAACTGTCAAAATAACACAATATACGGCTGTATATTCTTTCTTTTTTTTTTATAATCGAGGTGTCCGCGCGGCCGGCGAGCTAGGGCTCAAACCAGCGGTGATGCCCGACTAGTCCTCGAGGGGGGCTAGCGCAGCATCCCACCGCCACGACCCCCCACTTAAATCATCGATGGGCGAGTTTTGAATCCAGGACCTCTCGTGAAAGGAACTGAGCGCAAACCAACGTGGCCACCGATGGGTGGGTAGTATACGGCTGTATATTCTATTTGCAAAAAAAATGTAAATAACACAGCAATCAAGAGACAAGAAGAACGATATACCGGAAGTTTTACGTAGAAAACTTAATATGGGAAAAATCACGAGACACTAATTCAGGATTGCTTCACTATAATCAAAGGAGTACAATTAACACTCTAATGATGTTTCTCTCGTAATAGATCATCACAATTGTCACAAAAGCATCCTCACTTGATGAACTTTTAAGATCACACGTGTTTACACACATTATTAATGACTCTTGTAATCTTTCTAATGCACAAAACAAACCTCCACCCAAGCCCTCACAGTGGTAGACCTTCACCCAAATTCGTAATCCTCCCTAATTGATTGACAATCACCTCCCTATTAAAATTCTTCCTGATCGATTGGAATTCTTCTAATTGGACAATCACCAAAATTGATTTCATCCTCGTGTTATTCCTAAATAAGACTCTTCTTATTTAAACTTCTTTCCTTTCAGCGTCCTACCATAATAGGACTCATTCCTATTAGGCATTCTTGATGAACAATTATCAGGACATTTCAAATCAACTCCCGACATGTTGGGCTGCACCCAACAAAGAGGGTGGTATGACTTTGTGGAGCATTACTGGAATGATCCTGCTCATCTCATCTATAGTTTGAGAAACAAAGGGAAAATGACACAAACAATCCTTGAACTTCGGCTCAATATGCAATTTGGTCCCCGAACTTTTAATTTGTTCAATGTAGTTCCTGAACTTTAGCTTAACGTTCAATATGGTCCCTGAACTTTTAATTCATTCAATGTGATCCTTGGACTTTTGGTACATGTTCAATTTAGTCCCTAAACTATATGAAAATGTTCAATTTAGTCCTTCCATTAATTCAAGTTCAGGAACTACATTGAACATTTTCATATAATTCAAAGACTAAATTGAACATGTACCAAAAATCCATGGACCACATTGAACGAATTAAAAGTTCAGGGATCACATTGAACATTAAGCTAAAGTTCAGGGACTACATTGAACAAATTAAAAGTTCAGGGACCAAATTGCACATTGGGCTAAAATTCAGGGACTGTCTGTGTCATTATCCCAAAAACAAAGGTAGACTCCAAATGTCGCCACACCCGTCCTCTTGGGGTTATGATTTACTCCATTTTTCATCGGAGGAAAGCCCTCCATTCACGCCTTTGATTGGTAAGTTGCAAATATGGAAATTGCTCACATAATCAATTTACTTGAAAATTAGCGCATTATATTCATGTTTATAACTTACCAACTCAAAGAATCAGTTAGAGGAAATTTCCACCAACAAGTGGAACAGTACGGAGATTTTGTGGCTGAGCTTTGACTGTCATTCTGTCATACTACGAAGACGGTCAGCTCAGCATTTCCCTAATAGGGAGATATTAATCTTCATACAAAGGGTCCGTTTGTTTGAAGGAAGACTGTTTTTAGAAAATTGATTTCCAACTTTTTCGATATTTTGATGATGGAAAACTAGTAGATTTACAGAAAACGTTTTCCATGAATTGAAAACAAGAACTTTAGATTGGAGGAAACCGACTTCTCCTTTTGATAATAAGGAAATCACCCATGAATCATCAAACAAGAAATTCTAAATATTTTCCGTGAAAATGATTTCCATAGAAATATTATCATTTATCACGAAATTTTCAGCGAAACAAACGCATCCAAATCAATTAAATAAACATTCACACCCATAATGTCTTATAAAGTTCTCATTTTAACTCCAGGCAGGAACAAACAGCCTAAATGCAGATTAAACCATTATGAGCCAGCATTTATTGATCCTACTCCTCCGAGGCCTCCCACTCCTCCTGAATTAGCCAGTGAATTTGATTAAGAGGATCCTTTGTTCAAACTAGTGATATCATCTAAAAAAAATGGTAAAATCTTGAACCTAATCCGTTATTGCCGTCTCTCAAGTTCGATTACGATCGCTATCAAAATCTTGCCTCAATAGTGTTTTCCCTAGTTGATTTGGTTTGTATTGGAAATCATATGACATGTTATTTTTAGTGGAGTGATCATGGGGCCTCCCAATGGTGTAGTATCGTGGAATTAAGGACGAAAAGAAAAAACATAAGAGAAAATAACACCACAGATACCACAACTTTCCTACAGCACGTACTTGAGTGCCATAACTTTTTTTTATCGTTTGAGTGTCATGACTTTTATACAACATTCACTTGAGTGAGATGACTTTTTCTATAATCATGTGAGTATCATATAATTTTTCAATCGATCATTTGAGTTCCATAACTTTTTAAAAATATTCACCACAAGTGTCATGTCACGTCAGACTTCTGATATTTGGGTGAATGTTTTTTAAAAGTTATGGTACTCAAGTAATTGATTGAAAGTTATAGGACTCCAATGAACATTTTTTAGAAATCGTAGCACTCAAGTGAATAGAAAAAAAAAAGTTATTGTACTCAAGTGAGTGCAATACGAAAGTTATGACACTTGTGATATCATAATCTCATAATTAAAGATTGTAATCGAACCGGGGCTGTCCATTCACTTGGATATCCTCAACTTGCTGCTCCATCACTATCCAAGGGAAAGGATGGACAGATACTTGAATCGAAAACTAACCAAAAATGGCAATTCGGGGGCAGTCACTTGTTTGAGAATGCTTTACATTGCAGGTTAAGATCAATCAATGGCTTTCATGAGCCTCTTAGACTACGTTTGGTTCATCTTTCTCAAGGGGCTTTAGAGAAATACAAAGCAGTTTAGCCTAAATAACTTTGGGGAAATACAAAAACTGTCTGGTAAAAAGGAGCATCAATTTTGCCTTTCTGCTAGATGGCCTGCATTTGCAAGAGAAACTCTTTCGTGTGTACGGTACGCCTGCGTGTTTGAGCTCGATGATAGTAACGAGGTTGTGTTTTTAGTCTGCATCTCCGGACGGTGTTAAGGACCAGATTCACTTTGATCGACGTGGTTATCGGACGTGTTTCCTCTCCGCTGTTTGCAGCGTCGATATGAATTGAAGATTACTAATTATGCCTCTTTTATTCAGCAAGAGGCGAATTGGTGAAAAGGAGACTCTTTTCTGTTCATGTTTTCTTGTTCTATACTTCAATTTTGGCAAGGATCGCTGAGATTGGCGCTTCTTTTAAGGTTTCTCGTTTGCTCAAGTGACCTAAAGGGTTCATATGCATTTCCTCAACATCTTAACATTTTGTGTGTAAACCAAAGCTTTGTAGGAAAGAAACAAAACAAAAGAAGCAGTCGTCCATGCATTAACTTTGGGCATGACTGGGCTTTTAGCCGATCAACAATTTGTTTATATTGTTTTACGGCTAATTGCAAAAAAAAATTTCGAGAAAATTGCATGGGTTAGTGCTTGATCGTACATGACGAGTCCCTGATCAAATTATGTCTCCAACTCAAAGTAATCTTGAATTGCAGGCAACGCCCACCCCTCTTGAGGAGGCACCTAACCTTATTCGATGCATGTGAATGCACCAATCTATGCGCATTTGGGCCTATTTGATAAAATTGAGAAATCAGTGCGGAGAATTTAAGTACTGAATTTTGGTGTTGACAATCTTATATGCTAAAATAGATATAAAAAGTTGTTTGACAATAGCTGAATATGTCGTAATTTCTTTCCACAAGTCCAACTTCATCATAATTGGCAGGCCATAACCATAAATTTGGCAAGATTTTAATCACAATCAATTAAGTAGCCCCTCCCGGAAGATAATACTTGCGACGAAGTAGAACTTCCCCTCCGTTCTTGCATTGAGAGATCCTAGGGGAATATAAGCTCACATCCGTTTCGCACTTCTATCATTTAACTTCTAAAGTGGGCGAATTCTGCAGATGCGTGATCAGAAGCAGTATCGACTAGAACCGATCAGCAGACGAGATAAGATAAACCTAAGAAAGAATCATAGTTGTCACAACACACACTGGATTCACTTCGTATGCGTCGAAAGAGAGTGAACTATAATATCGGATTACTGAACAAATGAGCAGAAGTCGGAAGAAACGAGGAGTCTCCGCCTCATACAAGCTATTTTACACCATTTTGCGCATTTATGCATATATAAAGCCATATTACACCTAGCTTAGTACTACTTATTCCCGCCAATAAAAAAAAGAATATCACAGCCACAACACTTCAACCGAGGCACCTATTCTCTCGAACTATCTATCGCCGGTATCCCATCGCCACCACCGGGATCCTCACCTTGTGCCCTCGACTTCCTTTCATCAAAATCTCCCCAAAACTGTATCTTCCGGTCACAGACCTGACAGTGAGAGTGACCGTAAACTTCTGTGACGCACCTGGTCTTATTGTCATTGCTGGAGGGCTGGCTTCAAGAGCGACAGACGGATCCATTCTGGTCGTAATGACATATGTCTCTTGCTGAGCCACGTTCGTGACCGTGCGAGTGACAGTTTGAGTCCGGACTAAGTGGGCGACGGTGATGGAAGGGTAGTTGAGATTTGACGGGTGGCCCATGGAATAGTTGCATTGTGAGTTTGTGTAGTTCTTGATCTCGTGAACATCGATACCAGGAGTTGTGCACAAGAATCCCAAATAATCATTGTAACCTGCCAAGGATTCAAGTACTAGAAATCAGACATCTTGTAATGAGAAGCATAGGAATCACCCACTCATTAGTGTGAACAATTACAACGGCAAACTA